TTAGCTTAAGAAGATATATTTATTAAAAATATAGATATATATGAACGTATCAAGGAAGTCATTGCTCCACCGTTTATCATTCTTTTTATCATTCTTTTTGGATGAGAATGTAAATTCTAATTTATTTTCAATAATTAGATATTTTTCATTTTTCATTAAAACTAATCTCAAAATAAAGAATCCTTATTTATTTACATAAATTTACATCGATTAAGCTTTCCATATTGCTTGTAAATTTACAAATTTAATAGATAGTTCTATTCTTTTTACTTTTAATCAGAGGCGAATTTACATATACGACCCACCTATTTTTTTTTTCATATATATAACAAGTTATGTATCGTTACATTTGTGACCTATTTTCGATAAATGTAATGAACCACCTAATATCTTTGATAAGAAAAAAACAAAATGCAACTCATATTCTATATTTTAATAAGTCAAATTGTTTAAGGTATAATACAATATGAATAGCCCACTACAAGTTAAATTAAAAAAAAAAAAGTAAAAAGGAACAATAATCTTTAATCAGTATTCAGTCTCAATGTTGTTTCCTTCATAAAACCTCAATTCCCGCTACACAATCATCGATTACTATCGGATGCACTACATCACAATTGACGATCAACCGATCATGTGTGTCGGTTGTCATTTGCCACTTGCCACCACTGACAGCTTCCCCTTGTTAGCCCCTCCGCCACAACATCTAGTAGTCACCCACTCCCCACTTTTTCCCCCTCAGCCTTTTTGTTGGATACAGTTGTAATAACTTAAAAAAATTGATTATACAACCCGATCCATACCCACAACTAGTATTTTTTGAATAATTTCCAATTTTTATCGATTTCACTTAAATAGTGAACTATGTGGATATACATTCTAGACTCACCACTGCTTTTAATATTACTTTATTCATTTACTCTACAAAACCGATACCAATACGACCATAGATAAGCTTTGTGATATTTAGATGTGGCCATCTAGACAAATGAAACAATTCTTGCTGTCATTATTTTATTTTATCTTAAGGGCTGCTTGATTTGTTCTAACTGGTCCAGTGAGAAGGTTTTACTGACTCGGTCCACAATCAGAATGTTTGATAAAAGCATTGAGGCCCTTACTCGGTTCGTTTATCCCTGGTTGGGTCCAAGGAAAAAACATAGCTGACCGGGTCATTTTCTTTATTTTTCCCTTCGTGCCCTTTGAGGCTTTGACGCTTTCCTCTCGATCGGCTTGCTCCGCCACTCCTCCCCTGTTTCCCCCTCTTCAGGTTTTGTCTTCGCCGGAGTTGCCATCGCCTTAGTCTGAAAAATACCCCATCTTTGATGCCTTGAAATATCGAATGTAGTGCATCAAGCCATCCCCGTTAAAATTGTAAATATCCTATATTTGATTTATCAGTTTATTTGATTTTGATTTCTTATTTCTGATTTTTCTTCATGATTTTGTTTAGTGACTAGCCTATTATGCTTGTGTTTTTTAATGATCTTGAACAGGGAACAAATTATTTTTTTAAAGATTAAAGCTGGTTTTGCCCCATTTTAGATGGAAGTGCTTAGGGTATAGCATTTTGTTCCAGTTATAATTTGATGGTTGAAATTGAATGTAAAGTCGGCGTGTGAAATGAGGGATCATACTTGTAGCACCTGGTTCTTGGTATGTATTCTTTTATTTATATTTTTGCATTTTGGCCTTGGACTCGGCGAGTTAAAGTACCAACTCGCCGAGTATAAGCAGGATGAGATGCGGGGTTTAAGCTGTGGACTCGACGAGTAGGCCCTGTCTGGACAAAAACCCTAACCCGAGGGTTTGCACCCTATTTAAACACCTTAACTCGACCTCCTTCATCCCATTTGCTCCCAGAAGACCCCCATAGCAAACCCTAGCTGTTATTGAAGCAATCTAAGGCATTTGGTGTGATTTTGGTGTTTTTACGTCCCAAGGAAGGAAGGAAAAGCTTGAAGGATCAAGAGGAGGCTAGAAGGATCCGATTTTGAGCATTATTTGCAGTCTTCAGAAGGTATAAAGTCTATACATTGTTTGTTCTTTTGATAGATCCCATTTTGTGGAGTTTTAGGGCTTTTCTAAGCCATTTTGGTCACCAACCATGATTGCAAGCATGGTTAGGAGTTGATGTTTCAGATCTAGGTCCTTAGAGGGGTTACAAGACAGAAAGGAGTGGCTTTTGCACTCAAAGAAGGCCCCATGCATTGTAAGAGATTGGCTTAGGACCTTTTGAGCTCAAAGTCCCATGCATGCACGTAAAGTTTGTAACTTTACGTGCTAGATCGATTGTATAAGCATAGATCTACCTTTTGATCAAGGGTTGTACGTCAGAAATTGAAGATTTAATGAGTGGATGTGACCAACTCGACGAGTCCAAGGTTTTTGTCCCATATCAGTTGAGGGTCATAAGGACCCAGTTGAGTGTGGAAAGGTTCTAGGGAGTCCCGGGGAGTGACCCACTGTTCTGGACTAAGCCATTGTTCTAGAAGTTCATAGGACTCGGTGAGTGCATGAGCAGACTCAGCGAGTCCAAGGCAATCTTCTTAAGGATGAAGATGAACTCGACGAGTTGTTCATACAACTCGGTGAGTCAAGGACAGGACCTATGTATCAGTTGAAGATGAACCCGACGAGTTGTTCATACAACTCGGCGAGTCGGATGAGGATCCAGTCGATGTTCATTTAGAAGGAAAACTCGTCGAGTCATCGCCTAACTCGACGAGTAGAGACGAGTAAAAGGACAAATGGAAGGATAGGGACTCGGCGAGTTGGCGAGCCAACTCGGCGAGTCAGGTCAACTAGAAGTTAACTTTGACTTTGACTTGGTCAGGGGTAAAATGGTCATTTTACCCTAAGAACAGTTAGTAGTGTTTAACTAAGTTTTTTTTGGGAACTATAGCCGGAGGATTTTCTGAGCAGCAGCGACAGCAGTCAGAGGATTCCCTCGCAGATCAGTAGCTACTACGAGGTGAGTTACCTTCCAGTAGCGGTGGGTCTACGACCACAATGCCGTCCCACCAGTAGGAGTTGTATGATTAGATAATTGTCTTTGTCATATCATCTAGGTTTGCTACTACTTGATATGTTATATACTGGCACGATATGTTATATGTGATAGTAGTAGAGTTTGGTTGTTAGGACCGAAGGGTAGGTCAGACAACCCATACATGTCTGATAATATGTGCTGATATGTTTATATGCTGGCAAAATATGATATATGTGATAGCGGTAGTAGGAGGGGAACAGTCTTCAAGTTCGGTTGTTAGGACCGACGGGTAGGTCAGCACCCCATAATGGCTTGACATGGGTAGGACGACACCCCAGAATGGCCGCATAGGTTGCCGTCCCAGGTAGGTCGGGCACCCGAGAATTTCCCGGCAGTATTGCATGATATGTGGTACGATGGGGGAACTCACTAAGCTTTGTGCTTACAGTTTTCAGTTTTGGTTTCAAGTACCTCTTTGGCGAAGGGGAAGGAGCTGGCGCGGTAGCGGCACATCATACACACACTCTTTGTTTTCCGCACTAGGAGTTATTTTGGGATTTGTACTCTGACCTTTTTATGTTTTTACGATTCGATTTTCAGATACGAGACATGTTTTATTAAATGATATGATCGGATGATATTTTGTTACAAATGTTTTGTGAATCACTTAATCAAAAAATGAAAATTTTAAACCTGAAAAATTGGGTTGTCACAATACTAAAATGAGAATGTAGTTATTGTTTCAAGAACAAAGTTATGATATAGAGAAAGAGATGGAGTTGAACTCACATTGTAGTTTGGCTGAAAGATGAGAGATATTCATAACTTTGACCTCATATCAAAGAATGTAAATGTTTTAAGCTCAAAACTCTGATTTAGAAATTACATACTTGCGTTGTGGGAATTTTTGGTATCAAAATTTGCATTTGTTAGTTTGATTAGGTGTAAGACACATGTATTATATGAGTTAATTAAAAAAAAAATTATATATAAATATCTAAATATTTAAGAACTTTAAATTTATAAGAAAATAAGAAAAACAATGAATTATTAAAATTGATTTTTTTTATCTTTTAAATTTAAATAAATAAACAAAAATAAACTAATTAGCTTTAATTTGAGAATTTTGAAATAAGAAGGTAAGTCTATTAATAAAATTAATATTCATTTATTACTATATTTGTTGTAATTATTACATTAAAATATTATGTAAAATTTATTAAAATAGAAAAACCCATAAAATGAAATGTGGAAAAGAAAGTAATTCAAAATAACCACAAAATAACATTTGAAAAATTGAATGAGATGTGACATGTGGTAAAAAACATTCATTTATTAGAGCGGAAGATTAAAAAATCGAAATACTGCTTAAAGGTTCAATTTGTTTTAAAGCCATTTGCCTCTCATTCGGTTTACTATTTGATTGCATTACAAGATAAATGTGTGTGACTTGGTATAATATTTATAGGACAATTTTTAATAACAATCATAGAAAAATGTTGTCAGAGGGTAATATAGTTATTTTGTACTATTAGTCCGATGCAAAATCTAACAACAAGTTTCAAGTTTACTCAGTCAATTTCTCTAACCCAGTCAGTTCTAACCTAGTTAGAAACTATCAAACGACTCATTAGTTGAATTTTTGTTAAACCTTTTGGTTTATATATATGGCGATATGCTTAACACCAAAAAACATATCAGAAAAGCTAGATGCTCTAAAATAGGGATGTAACCGGCAGACCAAAACCAAAATAACCGAAGATCGAGTAAGAAGTGAAATGAGAACCAAGAATCAAACCGAATACCACTAATCGGTTCCGGTTTAGTTCTATTAGAAAGCGTGCTATCTAAAAATGTGTATGAAACCAAACCATAATCGAAATAACCAAAAACCAAAAAATATGGAATACAACTGATCGGTTCCACCAAGTTTCTTTTCGGGTTCTGATTGCAAAAAAACGCAAGCCCTACATAAAAGGGATGTGAAAATGGATGTGTAAGAAACCAAATAAAAGGGATGAAAGTGTGTACAATGAAAGAAGAGGGATGAAAATACACATTCTTCTCCTGTAAACTTAAACCCCTTTCTTTGACACCCGAAGACAACTTGACGCCAGAAACATCGAGAAGAAAGCACCCAGCTATACTGATCAGACTCTCTTTCTCTCTCTCGCCAAGCCATGGCTAGGGTTCCAAGCAAGCACGATCGAGATAATCCCCTGGTAATCAGTTTCTGTTTCCATTTTCTTTCTTCTTCGTCCGCTCTACTTGCAGTGTGCACTGAATTGAAAATTTTCAGCTTTATGTTATCGATTATTCGTAAACTTCGAACTTCCGTGCGATTCACCTGTAAGAGAGGATTTTATTGCGTTTTTGTGACACTCTTACGTGGCTATGGAGCGGTTAACTGGAAAAAGTCAGCTTTGAGTTGAAACAATGCTCAACTTTTCTTGTTTTTCTTTAGTCCATTTTGATCCTTATTCTGTCGGATTGATGGTAACTTTCCTTCAGTTCAAACGATAAGATATGACGCGTTAGAATGCGGGATATATTAGGCTCATATTTCATAGACAGATAGTCTAAAACTTCCACTGAGCTTTATACCTAATAGAACACACGCATACACACACGGAGGACTTACATTTGATACTTTTTGTACACTTCCCAATGCTTCTTGTTTAGTTTGGCTATTTGAAGTCTCCACAAGCTTTGAATCTTAGTTACTTGTATACTGTTGTCAGGTTGTTTAGAATCCCGCAGTCACACAGTTCTTCAACATCTATAATGTTTGTAATTTGAATAGCTTGGTTGTTCTATCAGGATTTCGAGGGATTTTTGAATAACTTGCAGGATTGGGAACTTTCACTCAAGGATAAAGACAAGAAGCTGAAATCACAATCTGATGTGGAAAAGATGGTAACTTAGCACACTTTCATAATTGCATCTCTTTGTTGATTTTTCATTCACCTTGTTTTTTGATCTATTACTAGGAACCTTTAAATCTGAAAAATGCTTTTGGTAATTCATCCAATCTTGGAACTAATGGAAGATCACGTGAATCAAAAGAGCCTGGAAGTGGAAGTTTAAAGGTAAGTGGATTAAATAATCATTGTAAAACATGTATGCAACTAGTTTACATGTTTTAGGATTAAATGATGTATTTGAACAGGGTTAAATTAAATGCAAGCAATAGCAACAAATTTTTATTTATAGCATGTGCTTTTCATTTTCTTCCTATTAGAACATTGTACTTTGAAAATTCTACCCAGTTATTGCGTTTAATAAACAAATAACTGAAAGTATATTGCTATTAAGCTCTATTTGATCATCTCATACTGACTTGATTTACATCTCAGAAGATTGGAGTGGACAAAAGACAAACGGGTAAATCAACATCTGTGAATAATCCAAGTACTACAAGAGGAGAAGATTACCTTAAAAAATATAAAGATGTTAGCAGTATATCAAGTGGCTTTATAAAAGATGACAGTTCCATAGATGCTAATTCAGAGAAAGAATTGGTATGGATTGTGGTTTTAGAAATTTACATTATTAGTCCCTGAACTATTTGACAACTTCAGTTCCAGTCCTTTTATCTTGAGTGGAAAATGTAGCAATTATCACTCTCACAAACATATATGTGAGAGTGAGACTACTTGTTTTTGGACCCGTTACAAAATGATAATCAAAGGACTGAAACCGCAACTAGCAGAATAGTCTAGGGGTGGTTTTTGTAAAATTTAATTTATTCTTATTCCTTTTTACAGGGTAATGAGTATTTCAAGCAAAGAAAATATAAAGAAGCAATAGACTGCTATTCTAGAAGTCTTGCATTATCACCAACTGCAGTAGCTTATGCAAACAGAGCAATGGCTTACATTAAACTCAAAAGGCAACTTTTTTTTTTTTTTGTTCACTTTTTTTTTAATATACTATTTTTATTTTTGTCTCTTTAATTTTCAATTTCATTAGATTCCAGGAAGCTGAGGTGGATTGTACAGAAGCCTTAAATCTAGATGATCGGTATATTAAAGCTTATTCAAGGCGTTCAACTGCTAGAAAAGAACTTGGTAAATATAAAGATTCAAAAGAAGGTATATATATTTTCAAAAATTTTACATATATAACCTTTCAAATGTCCAGTTATATTGATTTTTGCTAACTACAGATGCAGATTTTGCTTTGAGATTGGAGCCAAATAATCAAGAGATTAAAAAGCAGTATGCAGATGCAAAATCTTTGTATGATAAGGTATGTAATAATATTAAATCCCCTCCTTAAACCCTAAACCCTAAATATGTTTTGTTTAAATTTTTAGGAGCTTCTTAAGAAGGTATCTGCAACAGTGAAAGCATCAACAGAAGGGTTGCAAAAAGACGAAAAGTCAAACAATGGTCAACAATATACCCCGAAAATTTCTGAAACAACAAGAGTATCTTCAACTAAAACAGAGAACATTGAGGTAATGTGGAATAAGATGCATATTATTCTGAGTTTTTTTTTAGAGAAATGTTGGAAAAGCCCTTATATTTTAGATATTTTTAAAGAAAAAGCCCATTAAAAGGTGAAATATTTACAATTCTTAAGTGGCTTTCATGAAATATTTATAATTTTCAAATGGCAAAAAAATCCAAATTGTGATGTTGTTTTATAAACCATGTCATTGTCAGATAAACCATAATATTGGGAAGAAAATTATAAAAGAATCAGTGCAACAGCTTGCTGCTAGAGCAGCTTCTCTTGCCACGACTGAAGCTGCAAAGACCATTTTGCCCCCGACTTCCGCCTATCAGTTTGAGGTTTCATGGCGGGGATTCTCTGGTGATCGTGCCCATCAGTTTCGCCTCTTACAGGTATAAAATCTATTTTTCAAAAAAAAAAAAAAAAAAAAAATCAAAAGTATAATGTCATAATAGAAAAAACTCTTTTTTTATTTTTTATTTGTCCATGTAGGCCACAGATCCTGTTGCATTACCGATGATATTTAAAAATGCCATGTCAGCGCCACTCTTAATTGATATCATTCGGTGCATTGCCACCTTTTTCAGGCAAGTAACTGATTTATTTGTGTTACTAATAAAAGATAAATTTATATTTTATTTATTTATTTAATTTATACTTTGTGACAGTGATGAAGTTGATCTAGCTATCAAATATTTAGAAAATCTGCCAAAGGTCCCGAGATTTAATATGATCATCATGTGTCTTTCACCGGCAGACAAATCTGGTATGCTTTTTTTTGCACAATCAGTATCTTTATATAAATTTACAATTGATGGAATTAAGAAAACAAATATATACAAGTTTTTTATTATACTACCCATCAATCGAATATTTTAATATTTTAGCATTATATATATAAGGCCAGGGTGTCCTGTGCCCTTTTTGGTCATTTTGATATATTCTAGTAATAATGACTTTGTTTGTGGTGGATAGATCTTGAAAGAATTTGGGATGAAGTATTTTGTAACAAGGAAGTTGTACTTGAGATCCTTCAACAGCTACGCCCGAGATACTGTCTTATTAAACAATAATTGCTATAAGTTAATTAATGTTGAATTCTAATGTACATTGATGGTTTTTATTTTTTGATATCATGTTTAGTAAGTTAATTCTTCTATTTTACTTTGAAGATTTCTTTGTTTTTAGTTAATATAGAATGCTTTCATTTAAACCTTTCTATCAAGGACAATAATCAACATCAAGTCCAAATATGATACCATTAACAAGCCTACAAGTACAAGCTACGACAATTTGATGAATTATTAATTTGTGGCCCAGTAATAAAAAAATGTTTAATTTCATTGGACATATAAATTGTATATTTGGATGTTTGAGAAAAACAAATCCAAGTCGTAATCCAGTTATACTGTTATTGGAGAAATACTAGACGATTGATTTTGAATATCATGTGTTCAAAACATTATCTTCAAAATTGCGTTTCTGCACCTTTTGAATTAGTTCCACCATGCATATAAATCTAGAATATTATTCCTACTTAAACATTGATTTTAAAATCATACGTAACTACAACTTCATTATTGTTTTGTAAAGTTTGTTATTTTGAGTCTACGCTTTCATAAAATTAAGCCTCATGTGAATTTTCTAGCATGACAAACAATGTGCTTACGTGTTCTACTTTGTTTTAAGCCTCACCGTGTTTACCATTTTGTCAATTAATAAGTCGATTTTATAACTACGCCTTAACTTTGTTTTATTTAAAAATGATCATTTTCATATTTTGAGTAACAAACACTTATGTAGTTATATAAACTTATAATCTTATTGGAATCTACAAAGGGTAACCACGTAATTAATTGGTTAGTTAATAAGTTCATTAATTTGAAAATTATATATGTACTTGATCATTAATTTGAAAATTAGTATATATATATATATATATATATATATATATATATATATATATATATATATATATATATATATATATATATATTGTGAAAATACAATAATTAAATATTCGTTGTTTTTACACCAAAAAATACATAATGAAAGTATATAATAAGTGAAGTTTTGATAAAGTTGAAGGGAGCATTTAAGTAATTCTCCCAACTGCTTTTTTGTTTTTGCATAAGACCCGCCAACTAAACCAACCGTCTTCCTCAATCTAATCCTACATACACTCTCTGTTACCCTACCAGGTCATCATCAAAGGTGCTCCCTTGCCCCATATCAACTTGTTAATTTCGATCATTTGCTTTTTGTTCTATCTATTTTGATCGTATTGTATTTCTGTTTTTTCGTTCAATTAACCTACGCTTCCTTAATCTACCTTTGCATTCCTCCCGCCTCTTGTTCTAACAGGTAAGATTTCTTATTTCCTATAATTTTATTTGAATCTTTTTGTTAGTATATATGCGTACCATATTTATCTATAGTTTCCTTTAATGATAAATATTGGATTTGTATCGTATCAATCATTTAATTAGCAATACACGAAACTGATAACATCATTGTCTAAAAGATATGCAAAAGCACTTGAAATTCTGATGAGAGTTTTCTTCCCAAACTCTCAAAATCAAACATCAATTTTATCACTTCTAAAGTAGGATTAATTAATCCATATTCGGACCAACTCTCTCATCAATATCTGTGTTTTTGCTATGTCGCATCTGATGAGCAGTTATAGTGTTATCCAAGAACCTGAGATTGTGCTTGTACAATTAATCTGCATATATAATATTTGTAGATGATGATGTAACAAAATGTTTGTTTCGATGTACATTGTTCAAGATACATCAAGTCATTTAATCTAATCACAAATTGATTAGCTTTTGTTGAGTTATTTGTGATAAATAAAATCTTGATGTTGTGTGTGCAGATATTGTTGGTTATATAAAAAATGGCTGGAGCTCCACCTGGGACTGCAAAAATGATAATCAAGGAAATAGGTATTGGCATGGTGTTGGGTTACATTTGTGGTGCTGCATGGAAATACACGTACCATAAGGACCTGACCAGAAGGACCAAATCCTTCTACCACATGCTTGATAAAGGTGAGATCTCAGTGGTCGTTTCAGAAGACTAACTACTCCATTATTCTATCCGCATATAGCATTCTAAATGCTGACTTCTAATAAGCAATATTTTTGTTGGTTTGAGTCGTTTAGACACTTTTCCTGAATTGAAAATTGTAAATAATAAAAGCACAGCCTTCGTATTGGTTGCTTACATGAGATGAGTTCTTGACAGATCTGATCATCTACTTTGGTTCTTTTTCTTGTCATTTTTTTAAAGTAAAAAGGGATAAAACATTATAACAAAAAAATCAATGAAAAAGAAGACATAATACGGAAACTCATAATGTACTTAAGTAGAACACTATATATAATAAACAAACTAATGAAAGTAAATAGGTATTTCTTGCTTTTAAGTTTCAACTCATTTTAACAGCAAACCGATTTGATTTGCTACTTGAAAATTTAAAGACTTTTGATGTTCAACAAGCTTCTGTTTAATCTAGTAAGCTTTATATGATTGTATTTTCTTTGTTGGGAAAATGACCTAAAAGGCCAACAAAGTTTCCAAACCATTCAAAAAACCCCAATCATGTTTTGTCTGTTCAAAAAAACCCAACGAACTTAACCTTTTGTTTAAAAAGTCCAACAAAGTTTCAAATCGTTCAGAAAATTTCAATTTTGTTTTATTTAAGTTCGTTGGGTTTTTTTTGAACAACCAAAAGATGATTGGAGTTTTTTAAACGTTTTGGAAACTTCGTTGGTCTAACAAGTCATTTTTCTTATACGGTAATAAGCTACGTCATCTGTTTCTCTTATTTTACTTTTGAGAAAGTGTAACTTAGTTGGGCTTTTTAGATAAAATGTTAAGTTTGTTGGGTTTTTTTGAACAGACAAAACATGATTAGGGTTTTTTAAACGGTTTGGAAACTTCGTTGGGCTTTTAAATCATTTTTCCTTCTTTGTTTAGTACAGAAAGTAGTGAAAAAAGTAGAACACTATGATAAACAACCAACCAGAATACATAGCTATTTCACTCATATTTTTCAAGAAAAAGCGATTCGATTTTCTAGTTGTAAATGTAAAGACTTTTGATGTTTAACAAGTTGTCGTTCTATATATGATTGTATTTTCTTTATTTTATACAGAAAGTCATGATGAAAGTAGAACAATAAAATAACCAACCAATTAAAGTAGGTAGCTATTTCTTGCGTTTCACTCATTTTTTCAAGAAAAAACTATTCCATTCACTAGTTGTTAATCTAAAGACTTTTGATGTTTAACACAGAAAGTCATGATAAAAGTAGAACACAAATAGTAAACAACCAACACAAGTACGTACGTAGCTATTTCTTGCATCCAACGGGCTAATGGTAAATTTAAAAGCTTTGGAAGTTTAACATGCTGTTATTTAACTTTGTAAGTGTTTTCTTTATATTAATACGGAAAAGAAGACTTAATCCGGAAAGTCAGAATAATAATACTTTCTCTCCAAGTCCTACAATTTTACAAAATTTGCCATTGTAATTCCTTATCAAGAAAGCAGTTGATAGGAAAGACAGAAACAAGGCCCAAATCAAATTCACTTGTGATGATGGACTCGGACTCTATGAACCAAGTCCGGAATGGAGCCAGCCAGTAACTTTATTAAAACTAAAAGAAACTAATTTTTAATTATATGAATGATGGCAACAAAGGATTCATTGTAATAAAATATTTTCTTATTTTATTAATGTAAAAGGTAAAGCATGTAAAGTTATGTGTTTGCAAATCTTCATTCATGAAAAATACATACATCATAGGGCTATTTGTAGCCATTTACAACAGATGGAAAGGAGAAGATTATGGACCTAAACTAGGCAAGATACAACAATAATATATTGACCAAGAATAAATCAATTTCATTAAATTCAAATTATGAATTTGAATATTTTGATTGATCCGTAATAAAGCATACTTATATTTTTGATTTTTCTTAGGAGTGACGATAAGTATTATGAGAAGTTTACTCTTAAGTCAATTTTGAAAGTATTGCTCTGAAAGTTAAAAAACACAGATACGTGAGTAAATTACAAAAATATTGTATACGCTATAAACATAGCAGCACTACGTAATGATAGAGTTTGACTAATTTTTTGCAACCATGGTGGTGCAACTAACCCCTCTTGTAGAAGAAAAAGAAAAGTTTCAAGTAGAGGGCCGACGCTGAATTTCATATAGTATGTGTTGTAAGAGACACATGGGGTTGTCGGTGCCATTATAGCACCATAGCGGAACCACCCCTGTTCAAGTAAGGAATTTAAGGGGTGTTAATTACACTTACGGAACTGAACTCTTTTTTGAATGACAAATAAATTAACTAAAGACTTGCTAAAGGCTAAAAAAATTATTCTAAACAAGAGGACTACAAAAGCCAATTATACTAGTTGATAACTATTGGCATCTATTTGAAATCCATACAGACGAAAGAAGCTTGACATCATCAAGAAGAGATGCGCTTCGAAGTTTTTGAGTGAACCATCATGATAAACCAAAACATAGTTTGCACCTAATACAACAAAATATTGTTTATAAAAATGACTAAGATTTCACCGGGACTACCATCCTCGAAAACGATCGAATATCGGATAAAGAAGTACAAATGATGTTCCACCAAACATTGATTCAAAGTGATCTAGTGAAGGAACAATACATGAAAACATGCTTGATTGCTTGTTGATTTCAGCATATACATTGTTGGTGATTTAAGTGTTATGAAGTCATTTATTATGATCGAGATTGACTTGAGATAAGCAGATTTCAACTTTAGCTATAATGCGAGCATGGAGATACGGAGTGCACGTTCTGATAAACTAAAATGACTTCGGGAACATAGGTCCAGGGTAGCACATCTGGTTTGGTCCAAAGAGCAGAACCTCTTTGGTGGCAACATTGCCAAAACCCGAAACAAGATGCATATATATATATATATATATATATATATATATATATATATATATATATATATATATATATATATATATATATATATATAGGATATAGATCCGGTAAGAAATTTTTTTTGGTAGCAAGGTAAGAAGTTTTTTTCTATATATTTTTTTGATGAACAAAAGAAATGAATCAATAGATGAATAGAAAATAACATGATTCACCAAAAAAAATCTAAAAAAACACACCGATGATTCATTTATACAATGATTTCGTTGTTATTCACTAATATTGTCATAAAAGTGAATTTTTTCTTAATTTACTTAAAAATGAATCATAAAGATGTTTTTTTGAGAATTTTTTTCTTGTGAATCATCTTACATTTGAATCATCTAATGATTGATTTTGTATGTTCGCTAAAAAAATATGTAGAAAAAAAACTTCTTGCCTTCCTACCAAAATTTTCCTTCTTATTTGATCTTGACTCTCTCTCTCTCTCTCTCTCTCTATATATATATATATATATATATATATATATATATATATATATATATATATATATATATATATATATATATAGACACACACACACACACACACACACACACATATATATATATATATATATATATATATATATATATATATATATATATATGTAACATCCTGAAATTCAGGTAAAGCTATTTAACCCTTCCATTTGTCAAGTTGTCAAGTTTAGTCCCTTGAGTGAGTTCTTGTAGCAAATGAGTACGCTGGGCGTACTGGGGAGTACACTGCGCGTACTCATGCGCTTAGTTTGGATGCAGACTCGCCTGGGTACGTTGGGTGTACCCAGGGTTACGCTGGGCGTTACGGGTCCAGATGCAAACCCTAAATTTTGGCTTGTGCACTATTTAAAGGATGCTAAGGCTCATTTCTCAGTCTCCATATCAGAGAGTGAAACGCTAAGAGAGCCTTCCATCATCCTTAGCTTGAGTGTGTGTGTTTTGGAGCTAAAAGTGTCTTGGTGTGTTAGTGAAGAAGAAGAAGAGGAGCTTGTGGAGGCTAGGGCGTGAAGTGCAAGTTTGGATCTGAGATCTTTAGAGAAAGGAGCTTCATGTAGAGGTATAAAGTTCAAAACTTTCCTCTTTATTTGGTTTGATGTTGCGTGGACCATTTCTAGGGTTCAAAGTCCCAAAGGTGGAGACTTTATGAGTGTAATGTACTCCATGGACCTAGATCTATCCCATTTCAGTGATACTTGTGTTGTAGATCCATAAAAATTCCATCTTGGTCGTTGTTATGAGGTCATGCTTGAGTTATGAGCTTTCTAGAGTTGGGAAATGGAATGTTATGGGTGTTAGTGACTTGTCCAGCCATGCAAAGGCTTAAAGTCACCAACTTTATGGATTAAGAGGCTTAGAAATGGTCAGATCTAGAAGTTAGACGTGGGTCTTAACTGTTTAAGACTTCAAGAGCTTAGAGTCTGAAACTGGGAGTTACGTGGGGCATAATCCCAATACGTGTGTCGTAAGGGGTTGCGTACCCTGTTTCTATGAGGACGCCGGGTACGCCCATCATACATGTTTGGTACGCGCAGCGTAACCCGGAGAGTTGAATTGTTGACTTTTAGGGTTTGGTCAACTTTAGGGTCTTTGAGTCATGAGAGGGGTAAAATGGTCTTTTACCCTTTTGTGAGTACTGAGAGAGGGAATAGTCTAGCCTTGAGAGATGTATTGATTTAGAGTGTTTATTTCATATGATTAGGTGGAGGCTAGACCAGATTTTTACAGAGTTCGAGATTACCGAGTTACCTGAGGTGAGTCTTCTCACTATACTTTACCTAGAGTGGTAATTAGAGTTATGTGCTAGAGTATTTTGTATGCTTTTGCATGATGTGATTTCTATGTGATTTATGCTATGTATGTTACAGAGTTAGGACCGGAAGGTCCACAGAGTTAGGGCCAGAAGGCCCACAAAGTTATGGGACTGGAGGGTCCCACTGAGACACATTGACCAGAGGGTCAAAAAGAGTTATAGTCTTGAGTGGCTAATATGTGTTGTGTGTGGTATTTTGGGGAACTCACTAAGCATTTATGCTTACATTGTTGTGTTATGTGTTTCAGGTACTAGTGAGGATCGCGGCAAGGTGTCGGCTTGATCAGTACACACACGAGGAGTTTTTACATATTATGATCTTGGGATGTGATGTTATGGATTGTTGTGATACACTAATAGTTTTATAACAATTATGAATGAAAGTGTGTTTTTAAATTGTGAATTTTAATCAAGGGTAATCCAGAAACCCTAAATTTTGAATTTTAAGCAAGGATAATCCATAATAGCATCAAATACATCAAACAAACTGCCATGGCTCTG